AGCGCCAGGCCCAGCCCTGGTTCCGTCTCTTTGCCCAGCCCCGCCCATCTCAGCCGTGCCGCGCCTACGCTCAGCTCGCCCGCGCCCCACCCTCGCCCCGTTTCACCCCACTCTGTTCCAGGATGTTTTCCTGCATCGTGTGCTCTGCAGTCTTTCTTTTCCACTATTCTTGTTCCCGCATTCGCTCGTCGTATGGTCTCAACCGCCATGTATGGGCTCTGCCGCTTCACCTGTATCACATCATTTTTTTTGTCGACTTCTCTTCCGTGTTGGTTTTGAGCGCTTATCGTTGTTTTGTCTGAGTTCATGGGTCGCGGTCCGTGACCCACTCGTTTTCTCGCTGCTCGCTATGCGTTTTCCGAGAATGACGACAGTGCTACACTGCTCTTTAGAACCCGTGTGCTATCGTCACATTCTTTTCGTTAACTCTTTTTCTTATTTCTGTGTTTTGTAGTACTGCATCGCTTGTCTTGTGCTTATTCAATTTATATTCGTTATCTGGTTCCTTGTTTGGAAAATCCAATTGTTTGGGAATACACTACTATTTACTATAGTAAATTGCTGTGCATTTGTGTGCCGTTCTCTGTTCCTACTCTTCCATTAAAACATAGTTTTTGTCAAGTCTTAATCTGGTAACTCGCGCATTTTGCTTCAAGTAGGGTAGCCGCGCGGCGTCGCTGCACTTAAGATTTTATTTTTCATCAGTGGGTCATTTAATCTCTCTTTTGGTTTTGCACAGATTTTCACTCTTTAGTTCACCCTTTTTACTTTCCTCTAAGAGCGACTATTCTAGTTTGCTGCATTAATACAACATGCACCGTTTTGTTGACATTTTTGTGGACATGAATGTAGGTACGCGAGAAATTATAGAAAAGAATAGAAATCATAAATCTTAAAAACAAAATCAATAAATGCTACGCATTACTGAGTACATTCTTTTGGTTACTTTTTTGTAGTTTTTCGAGACCATTGTTAATATTGCTGACTCGCAGAATACATCTCTTCAGGCATTATTGATTATCTGTTGTAAGAAGCTCAGTGTAAAATGCCACATTTTAAACAGATGACATTTTCCATTGATGCTTTTGTTACCTCATTGCGTTTCATTGAGACATAGCCAATGCCCAAGATCAAGTCGAACAATCTTTTTGATATAGACATGTCTTATATATCAATGTCTCAATGTAATGGCAATATATTTGTTTTATTGTATTGTGTCTCACACCGCATAATAAGAAGTTATTGCATCGAAAGTTTTAGATATGCCGATATAACAGTAGGAAGACGATCCTCGCCTAAATCTGAAATGTCATTCCCTTTTGTTGCGTCACTGGGTACACAATTAGGCGACCTATAATGTCACAGTTTGGAAAAGTTCAAATAATTATGATTGATATTGAATAATATACCACCCATTTGC